CCCCCCAGTGCCCCGAGGCTGCAGGAAGCCCGAGAGACTCGCCCGCCCTGTCTCACAGGAGGACGGCGAGGTTGCCCATCTTATGGACGCTTTCAGCAGAACAGGCAAAAGCGCCGGCCGGCCTGGCTCAGCGGCTGAGTGTTGCCCTATGAACCAGGCGGCCGGGGTTTGATTCCCAGTCAGGGCACATGCCCGGGTTGCGGGTTCGATCCTCAGTGTGGGGCGTGCAGGAGGCAGCCCATCAGGGACCCTCATCATTGATGTTTCTATCTCTCTCCCTCTCCCTTCCTCTGCCTGGAATCAATAAAAACAATGGGGGGAAATGAAAGGCAAAAGCCACTTCTCCAGAGCCCCAAGGCTCCTCTGAGCCCGCTCGCCATGGCCTGGCCTTGCAAACAGGCTCAGGGGCAACTGTGAGATCTCTGAAGTTCTTCCAACGTAAAACAAGACCAGGTCACCCCAGAAAGGCACTTGTGTGCTTTGGACGTAAGACGAGCCACTCGGCCACTGGCGGGGGGCGGGGGGGCATGGTCAGGCTGCTTCCGGGGCCTGCTGTCTCCCCGAGTCCCAGACACTGGAGCTGCAGCCTGTGGACCTCTCAGGGGTGCCTCCCCCACACCCCAGGCTTCTGTAGGGTCGCACAGAAACCCGCCCCGGCCACACGTCCTATCCCACAACCCACGCTTGGACCTGGGAAAACTCCAGCATCAAGGCCACACGACACCTGCCTCCTCCCTCTGAAACCCCAAGAACCAAACCGAACGCCTCTCTGATTCTTGAACACCTACCTGTTCTGAACCAAAAAGTCTACAATGTGCAGCGACGTCCGGTCCACAGATCGGACAGCCAGGTGGAGGGCGGTCTCGTCCGGCTCCTGCAGAGCAGACAGAGGTTCCAGAACCCCGGGGGGAACGTGCCATTTTGTGTCCAACACTCGCTTCCAAGAGCCTTTTATTCTTTCCTTCAGAAAACTCACCCTGGAGCTGCCCTGTGACCTCCGCGGTGGCCTCCCTGCCCGTGGGATCCTGCAATTTACAGACGGGTCCCACTTCTCCTCACTCCAGAGGAAATAACAAGGAACTCGGGGGTCTCATTTCAGACTCCTCCCCAACCTGTCCCTGTCCCTGTCCCTGTATTAACCTCACGAGAGCCTGTAAGCAGGGGTCTCAGTCCAGAGGCTCCAGGGACTTCCCTGGCCTCCCGTGCGCCAGCTCTTACACCTGCTCCCTGAATACATATAAATGTGTATTTTAACAAGAGTTAAAGCTCTTCACTCTATAGTTATAGATCAGGCCACCAAGGCTGCCACCTGGACTGTCTTCAGTTCATACTAGGGGGTACATGACCACCACGGCCTTTTCCGAAAGCAAGTCCTGGTGAGTGGGGGGAAGGGAGCACATGAGGGTGGTTTTGGGGGGCGGGGGCGAGAGCAGGAGGTAATATACGCAATGTTCTCTGGCCAAGGCCCAGCTCAGAGCCGAGCACGTGTGCCTTGGATCGCCATGGCCTGACTCTCTCTCAGCCCGACACTGAACATGAAGGCTCCAGGCTCAGCTGCTGAGGGGAACCCCAGCCCCGTGTGCCTTTATTCTGGGGTTCAGGGAATGTGAGTGTATATCTCATTCCACCTGTGGAAGGGGTTAGGACACATACTGACTGTGACACTGGTGGATCCTGACAGGGAGACCCCCGCCCTCTCAAGAAAATTCCTCAGGAAACTGGGGGACGTCTCCCTAACTCGGGTGCCCGCGGGAGAAGGGGTGCACCGGGCCGGCAGAGCTCTCCTCCCCCACGAGGCCCCCGGAGCTGCAGCTGAGGCCAGCCATGAGGCTCCCCGAGCGCCCAGAGGGTGCTAACGCTCCCCTGGAACTCCGTGCCGACCTCCCGCAGAGAACTCCACTACTCTGTTGGCATTTCTAGTTCCCGGCCTTGCCACGCTCTTACGTGTCCATTGGCCAGCGGGATCTTTTCCGTAAGATCCACACCATCAGCATACGCTTGCAGTAACCCAAATATATCCCTTGTCTTGACGGCCTCGCACAGGCTGTGAAGCTTGGCCCCGCTGTCCGCGTGTTTCTTCCTCGCGTATCTCCTCTCGATGTACTTGGCAGTGATGTAGTCCTTCCTGGCGTTCCTGAGAGCAAGCGCAAGGGCCTTGTAAACGGGGAAGGGGCTCTGTTCCAACAGCCAATGGCCCTTTTATTTGTGCCAAAGTCGGGGGCTTGGGGTCTCAATACAGATAGAATATCTGTAACATGTATATGGTAGAGTTCCCGGCGGACGGTATTCGTTTTTAAGAATCCTCTAGCCCCACAGTAAACAAAACCTCTGCCTTTGTCAAGCACCTTTGGCAGTCGGAAGAAATTACGTATCACGTGCTTTGTTAAAAACTGACCAATATTACAGTATTTCAGGACGCGGGCACCTCGCTGAGAGCAGGTGTCCACCAAACAGCAAACGACCGTGTCACACCGAACGTGACATTTCCCAGCGACCCCGGGAACAGCCAGCTCCCCTCTGGTCACCCTCCAGCTGAAACCTGGCCTGAGAGGAGCCTGGTTTTTCAAGGAGTGTGGACTCAGCACGTGGCACCCGCGTCACCCCCGGGCCACGTGCCTGACGCGCCGTCTCGCCAACGCCCGCTGCCTGGGGGCCGGGGGGAGCCAGCTCCCTGCCTCCGTCAGAGGGCAAGGGCCCGGAGGAGCTCGCTCGGCCGCCTGGGCCCGCGACCGGGAACGAGCTGGGACTCCAGGCCCTGGGCTGCCTCTGCCGGCCGGGGAAGGACCGATTCGAACTCACAGAGAGGACAGCCACTTTGTAGGCCTCGTGCCTGGTGCCTAAAGCCACACATTATTCTGTCTCAAGGAAACGCAGCGTTCGCAACAGGAACCGACTCGATCCAACACCAAGCGAGGGCTCGCCGGAGACACCCGGCACCCGGCACCGAGAGGGCGCGTCACGGCCACGGCCGCCTGCGCACTCCTCCGGCTGGCCGAGCTCCCAACTGTGTCAGGTCAGTTCGCCCGAACACAAAAGAACACGAACCCTGCAACCACCGCTTCCCAAAGACGCGCCCCCCAGGACGGCTCCAAAAATCCGAATTGTCTGCTTTTGCCAAGGGCCACACTCTCCGAAAGCCACCGCTCCCTGTGCCCTGTCCGATGTCCCCAGGACGACCGAGCGGCCAGTTCTCCCTCAGGTTACGCCAAGGGAAATGCTCCTCTACAGGTGAATTTTTACACTTTCTCACCACTCAGTTCTCATTCCCCCTCCTGCCCCAACACTTTGCTCCACTCACCACTCAAACGCGGGGGCCGCCTCGATGGCCTGGGGACCTCACCCTCCCTCTCCCCTTCCTCTGCCCCACTGGGCGCCATACTCCAGCGGAGACGCCACCCCATACCTCTTGCGGGCAGATGGGCCACCCATTCGAACCAGGCGTGGGGTCTAACGCGGGCAGCCCCGGCACTGCGTGGACCAGGTGGACTCCCACCCGCCTCTCTCTCAAAGCCCCGTGGGACCTGGGGGTTTGCACTGAGGACACTGGCAGGACGGTCCCCTGCTGCGAGCTCGGCCCCGGCGGGCCAGCGGCTGCCCCATGAGGCCCAAACGCTTCTCAACCGGGTCTTGTTATCAACAGTAAAACAAACGAACAAAAAAATTTTTTTCTTTGAAGGAAACAACACACTCCACATTTGCAAGGACACTGGGAAAGGTGATGCATGATCATGTTTCTGGGGCAACCAGCCCTCTCAGTGTCTCAGAATTTACGCGGGGAGACCTCAGGCCGGAGGGACTCCGCTCCCCAGGCAGGACGGCGCGTGTAGAGCCCGCACCACAGCAGGGGGGACACTGGCCTGCCCCTTCGCATACCCAGCGCCCCGGCCGCATCGGCTTTCCTGCGGCCCCTTCCTATGAAAAACAGCCGCACCAGATTTCTCCTGGGACGCCCCAAAAGGTTAAGGTGACTTAAAAAAACCACCACCACCAACGCAGGCTGATTAACTCCTTAACGAAACAGGTGATGTGCCCAAACCTGTTCCTCTCCTGCCTCAGGATGCGCGGCCGGGGCAGCCAGTGTTCAGAAGGCGGGACGGCCCGCCGCGTACTCACATGTTGCTGCCCGGGTTGGGCTTGACCGGGTCCTCGGCGGGAAGGCAGCACTCCATGACCTCGTTAAAGCCCGCGTTCCCGATGTTCTTGGCGAGCTGCAACGACAGCCCATTTCAGGGCGTTCAATTATTAACGCGCCCACTGCCACACGGCTCATCCATCTCCTGACTTATTTAGTGGCCACTAAGAAATAGAGCAATCAAGTGGTTTGCCTTTAATAAAGACGGACAAACCCAAACCCCAAAGGAACCCGTAGAACTCGAGGGAAGAGGCCGCGGGCCCGCTCCAGAGGCGTGCTCTCCTAAAACGCCCGGGACAGAGGACAGATCCACACAGGGACAGGTGGGGACCGGGCCCAGGCGAGAGGCCATCCTTACCCACGCCCCAAACCCTGCGCTCCCCCCGAAACGGATCTGACCACCTTTATTTGGGCCAGCGAGCAAGACTCGGGTTCATATCCCGGCCCCTCTGACTGGCGTTGGGGCTGCAGGCACATCCCTTTGCCTGAGCTTCGACTTTTCATCAGCAAGATGGGACAATACCTACCCTCGACGAGCTGTCAGAATGATAAAACGGGACAATTCGGGTGAAAGCATCCAGGAGACAGAAGCACTAAAAACGTGATGTACGTGCTCCAAATGGAAGCAATCCATGCGGTCGCCAACCTCCTGCCGTGTTAAAAGCCGAGTGGACGCACTAATTCACGCCCAGCGCCCGGCACTGTGTCCGATGCCAGATACTGGGATACATGTTGAGGTTTGTCTTTGTGGGGCCTCCCTGGCAGCATGGCAACCGGTCCCCTTGTGAGGGGAACCACAAATACCCAGAGTTACTCATCTATCCAGCACCCCAGTACCCCACTCGGCACCCCGTCAGCCTCTTCAGTGTTTAATGACACAAAGAAGCCAAAAGGGGGCCCCGAGGCCAGGGCTGGGGAGAGAAGACATCCTAACTTGCATGTTGAAAATGACGCAATGGGGCTGGGGGGAGGGGGTGACACTTCTGATCTCCCCACTTTCAATGCGTGGTGTGAACAGAGGGCGCTCGGGGCCGTCCTGGGGGATCAGGCTGCCCCTCAGCAGCCTCTTCTCTCTCCCAGGAAACTGGCTGAAGGGGCAGCTGAAGCTCGAGCTCCCAGTAACGTGAACAGTGAAGGGGTCGGAGGGACACCGAAGGACCGCAGGCACTGTGGGATCACTCAGGACCTGGGCGAGGAGCCTTCCTAATTGTACTTGCCCTTGGTAAGTGAACAAAGCTTCTAGACGGACGGCCCAAAGCCCCGAGCACTAACCACTCCGCCTCTGACCTCAGCTGATGTCAGGTGGCAACACCCCAGTCCTCACTGCGGTTCCCCAGACAGCCTGATGGTCGGCAGGTGACAGGGCCCACGTACCACGGCGCCAACGTCTCGGGTAGTCAGTGTGAGACCCAGCACTGAACCTGTGTCCCAGCCCCTGCTTAGGGTCAGGCATGACCTAATGCCCCACCTGCCTCTATGACATGGACGCCATCCCTGAGCCAAGCACAGTGGCTTTCAGGTGACGGGCCAGCCGCAGCACCCTGTGAGGAGGGGCCCCCACGCCTCCCCATCCGTGAGAGCAGATGGCAGCGGGGTGCGAGGAGAATTCCCCGGGACTCAGAGAGCGAGCGCTTCCCTGCTGCTCGGACTTGGCTGGGATACTGGGACAGCTGGTCCAGGGAGCCTCCCCTCCACAGGTCACACGCGTCCAACGTGGAGACACGTGCCGCCTCAGGGTTTAGCCAAGTCCCAGCGAACGACTCAGCCCACGGGGCGCCCTCGGAACCATGGATGAGAGCAAAGCATTTGCAGATAGAGGCTGTGGGGTCACGGCAAGAAAGCGTGGGCCCAGCAGGCCAGGTGGGCAGGAGCCCCGACACGCGTCTTCTACTCCCGGGCACCATCCCCAGGACTCTGAGGGCTCGGGGTGGACACGGGGCCAGGTGAGACCCAGGAGGGGCTGGGTGACTGAGAATACACTGCTCGGGTCCTGCCCAGGCTTAGTTTTAAACCTGAACTAATCAGGGGTGTTACTCACTGGGCTACCAGGGCTCCAGTTTCTCGCACGTTCCTTTCAAGGCCACAAAGTGATTCTTTGGGGAGACTGAGGATTTGACAAGGTAGTTCAGATGTATTACAAGTTCAGGCATGCTGGGTCCAGAGCACTCATCAATAAGATTTACGGCCCCTTGAGAGGTCTATTGACCACGGGAATTGATTTTCTGTCAAGACGATTGCTCTTGACGTTAAAATCAATGGCAATCAATACACAGTTACTATTTACTGTCTGCCGCCCAGCTGCCCCGAGGAAAACATTCAAACGCAGCTGTCTAACCAGCCGTCGCGGACTCTGAAAACAGTGCCCACGAGCTCCCGTCGGAGGCCGCCCCACACGCTGCCTGGGTGCCGGGCCCTGCTCCCGAGTCCTCAGAAAGCCACCCCGCAGAAAACGCGCCGGCCCCGACACTGACTGCACCACGGGGCTACGTGTTGTCACCGAACCAAGAATGAAAGATTTCCCTTTCTCAGAAACAAAGGCAATAAAAGCAAAGACCAATCTCTCTCCCCAAGGTCGACAGCGAAGGGAAGAAGAAAAACCCACTGGAGACGGAGCCAAGCAGTGACCGCAGACTTGGCAGGAGCTGGCCAGTGACTCAGGGGGAACGAGTCCTTGACCGCCTCGGGCCTCGGGCCCCGCCTGTTTAATGAATGGGGGTGAGCGAGACCAAACCACCGTCCCATTCCAGGGTCTCGCACCCGTCTGGACGCTCCTTTTCGAGCGTCGGTTCACTCTACTCACTGAAGAATAAAGTTTTGCACTAAGAGCGACCTCAGCTCCTAGGAGCAGGGGGAGGAATCATCAGTGAGTCTGTGAGCGCCCAAACCCACCCACAAACATCACAGCCGCCAGCCCAGGGGAAGCCAGGAAGCCAACATGGATTCAAAGGCCAGACTAAAACGTTAGCTTCCAGGTCCGTGTATTTCCATCCCCAAGTCAAGGATCTGAACGTTACCAGCAGCTCGGATGTCCCCAGGACGTCCAGCGTGAGGGACTGCATCCTGGAGTAGTGCACGCCCAGCTCCCGGTGGATTCCCGAACACTCGATGCAGGTCAGGATGCCCAGATTGGTGGAAAGCCACGTGGGGTCTGCAAAGAGATCAGAGAGCTTGGAGCGTGCAGTGAGGAGAGGGCCAGGGGCCAGGACACTCTCCTGCACAGCCGCTGAACATGGAGTTCCAAGCGTGACCATTTTTCTGGATCCTTGATGCAGCCAGACCTGTATTCCACCAGAAGCGTCGCCAATTTACACTTACACACACACACACACACACACACACACACGCACGAGTCTCTTCTCTCCCTCTTCCCAACCCTCCACCTTCTGGTCCTGTCATTCATAAGGTGACAGGTGCCGGGCAAACAAGAAACAGGACACAGTGCCCTCTAGGGGCCGTGCCCATCGCCAAGCCGGTCGCGCCGGCAAAGCGGGGAGAGGAAACCGAGGCCGAGGCCAGCCAGAGTCTACTGAGCCGACTTAGGTCGCGCAGGTCTATGCGTCCACAAACGCTAATTACAGTGACAGAGACCACACACTACGCGCTGATGCTGTGCTCTGGGCTCAGCACTTCAGCAGCACGTAGCAGGTACCATGCCTGACCACGAATGCCGAATTCACTGAAAACGGGGAATCCAAAATGAAACGCACTTGAGCGCAAGACCACGGCCCACAAGGGCAGTTCTCTTTGGAGCTGCTTGTTGCCCTATGGAAACGCACAGCAGGTAAATATCGCAGCCTGGGTCACTAGGTAATTGTGGAGTTCTTTTGTTAAGTGTTCAAGTTATAAAAACTGGACCTACTCTATCGTCTCAGCTGCACCGGGCTTTTGGTAGCTACGGGTGACATTTAGACGACTTTACTTCAGGTCTTTACATCACCTGTATTGTCTTAGCATCTTAGAACGAAACGCACACAGCCTGGACTTCCCCAGGGAAGCGTTTTAAAGCGCTATCCTGATCTTTTCTTAATCAAAAGCACCATTCGATGCTTACCACTCCCCTCGAGATAAGATCCAAAGAGATTTTAAAGATCCTGCTAAGAAGATATTTTTAAATGGGTCCAAGACCCCACGAGGTCATTCCTCAAATTATCCCCAAGAAAGCCTTCCGGGAACAGGACCTCCCGGCATTTCTCAGCTCTCCGATCTCTTCTTGTCATCGCTCGTTTATAAAAAGTGTCGTAGAATTAGAAGTGACGCGGTCACTGACCCCTCTAGCCCAGCCACAGTCTTTCTCTTTCTATAAATGTTTGGAAAAGGCTGTTCCGTGCTCTCCCAAACCCCCATCTCTCCATCTTAACGAGAAGAGCAGGTCAGCTCCGTAGATTTTTAAAAGTCCACAGGGATACGCTATGTGCATTAGGAAGGAGGCCTAACAGGCTTTACGAAAGCGCAGAGAGAAACGTCTCATTTTACGGACTGTGGGCAGCTGACAGGGACCCGCACACAGTCCCGACGACGCCTTCCTTTTCTGGAGGCAACACTGGTACCTGACAGCGACAGGCTCTTGCAGGGTCGCGGACTAGTCAGCGGCTCAGTCACTGCAAACCTTCGACCAACGGCGCCTGGGCCAAATCCCCGGAAAAGCCTGGGCAGTTAATACCAGGCCGGAGGACCTCGCTCTCACCCTCCCTCTGGGCACCGGTGTTCTCGAAAAGCATGGAAATCCTCTCAGCTCTGTCAGGCCCTCCTCACAGGATCCTAGCCCCCCAGCCCGGAGGCAAACACCCCCCCCCCCA